CGCCTGCCCGGACGCCCGTAGATCCACACTACGGCTCTATATATGCACATATATACATACATATGTATACATATATACATATATATATATATATATATATATATATATATATATATATATATATATATATATATATTTATATATTTATATATATATATATATATATATATATATATATATATATATATATATATATATATATATATTCATTCCACTGCAGGACATAGGCCTCTCTCAATTTACTATTAAGAGGTTATATGGCAGTCTCACCCTTGACTGATTGGATGCCCTTCCTAATCAACCGCGATCCGGTGCGCTAACACTTTTGGCACGGCGGTGATTTCCCCTCGACACCTGCGTTTGACTTCTCAAGGCGATATGTCGTTTTCTCGGGCTCGAGTCAGCAGTCAGAGCGCAGGCATTTTGACATTTCTACGACCGCCGTGGCGAGGATTGACCTCGGGACCACCAGGGTCGGAGTTCAGTGCTCTAACCACTAGATCATCGCGGCAGTCAGTGTGTATGTATATACACATATATGTGTGTGTGCATATATTTAGTTTAGTTTAGTTTAGTCCTTTATTTACCACCATAGCTAACTGCACAGGCGTGGGCAAGCTGTGGTACATTTAATGCATGGTCATAACATTACATAATGGTATTACATTTGGATATTATCCTATAACATTGTTATGATAAGTACTTTGTCAGTTCAAGGAAGGGAAACAATTGCACAGTCCTTTAACTACTCAGGATACAACATAATTATATCTTCTAAGACATCAGATGATATGAAGTAATTACATAGTTCTCCGTACCTCATGCTAGGTGGTCTGAAAGGCTGTAACACATGGCACTCTGAGATATAATGTACAAGTGTTCGCTTATATTCTTCATTACACAGTTTACACTTAGTTTCTTCGACATTACAAGCTGTACTGGCCTGCCAATACATTCTATATCCAAGCCTGATTCTTGCAATCACACTGTCTTGTTCTTGTTTTATGTAAACCATAGATGAATGAATCTTGCTTAAACCGGTCATAGTGATTTATGCTACAGCTTTCGGGGCGTTGAGAATTAATTAACTCAGTCAAGTCCTCTTTGAAGGAAGCTTTAATGATGTATAAAATACTAGAGAGGTAACCCAAGATCTATATCCACACTTTGTTTGTCACATGCTGACTTTGCTAGGCGATCAGCATGATATGCCTAGGGATTCCAACATGCGATGGGATCCACACAAAACGTATATTATGGCCTCGTTCTTTTGCACGATGCACGTTTATCCTAATGTCATTTACAATATTTCCCGCACCTTTGTCTAGAGTGTTAAGAGCCTGGAGAGCACCCTGTGAATCACAGAAAATGAGCCCTGAGCCTTGACTCAATAGAAATTCGGTGGCCATGAGTATTCCTGCCAACTCAGTTTGTGTAGTGTTAGCCCAGTCATGAACCCTCCTACAATCCTGGTGCTGCAAAATGATGTTTTTATATACAACAAAAGCGCATCCTGCTCTGCTCCCAGATTGCAAGGATCCGTCAGTGTAGCATTCATATGCATTGGGCAGAGTTTCTAGATGCTCACTTATAATTGCAAGTGCATACTGCTTAAGTATAGCAGGGGGGACACTGTCTTTTTGGGGGGCAGTCGTATAATATACACTTAGGTCAAACATTTTCCACAGTGGTACAGAACGTCCATGTAGGGTCTTAGTTATGGGTATGTTCAGCTGAGCTAAGTGTTTACATGTTACTTGTACCCATGGATTTGATAATGAATCGGTGTTGTCATTCAAAGCTAGCTCTTCTATTCTGTGTTTTAGTTGTCTTTGGAACTCTGTACAGTGGAGAGGTTCTCTAATTGACTTGACACTAAATGTGGTATTTATGTATAGTATTCTTTCATAAAGAGAAGGCAAGTTAAGTTCTGTTCTCATATTCACAATCCTTGTTGTTCTAGGGGCACCAAGAATGATCCTCATGGCTTCATTTTGTACACTTTCTAAACTAGTCAACTCTGATTCCTTGAACAATACTAGGTGCAATGCATGGTAATCTATGACCGACCTTATGTATGACAAGTAGAAGAGTCTCGCAATATTGACATTAATACCATAGTCTTTGCCGACAAGTGTCCTAAGTGGCTTCAGCCGCTCCCATAGCCTTTTCTTCAGGTTTCTGATGAATTCTGAATCATTAACAATCACCCCGAGGT